ATATATTAACACACTTATCATCACTTTTTTCTAACAATAATAGCTACCGCATTTTTGTTGTGTAGTGAGCCTAAAGATGTATTGTTACATACATAGATACACCAGCGATTCGATTATTTAAATAAATAATCAATCACAACAGGCAAAAAACATTCATAAGAATAGAGCGGAGACATCAAAGCTCGGATTTGACATCCTGAGGCGTTCTTATTATCATTGTGGTGGTTTTGCGCAAAGAAGAGTATCGAACTGAGTAACATATATATATATATATATATACACACACATATATGCATATATAATAATAATAATAAAAATAATAAGAGTTATAATAACAGTATTAGTAATAATAAAAATAATAATAATATATGTATATATATATAAATACTTATATGTATGCGTATATATTTTAAAGATTATTTAATCGGTATGGAAGTGTGAGGTTTACTCTTAATTGATTGCGTGTGTTTCTCTCGAACGATATGCGACACAACGAATGCGCTTCTCCTTTATATTATAATTATTGTGTAAATACAAAGTTCGTACAACCAGAGATAGACAAAGAGAGCGAAGCGAGGCACAGGTATATTGTTTTGCGTGTTACATTTTATTTTGTCTTGTATATATCTATATTTGTATTTATATATATATATATGTCTATATCTATATCTTTCTCTCTCATTCTCATATACACGAACACAGATTAAACCCATTTACTGACTCGATTCGATCTCTTTTATTACATTCGATTTTATTTTTTGTCATTTTTTTTCGTTACTAGACAGCCATTCTCTTCTTTTCCTTCTCTCAGTATTTTATATTTTGTTTTATAATATTACTTATCAGATCCTAAATCTTAAACATCATCATAATCATCATTATCATCAAAAAATTACGCTTAGGTTTATGCAAAAACGTACATACGTGAGAAAGTTGTTTTGTTTTTGTTTTTGTTTTAACATAACGCATTTCGTGAACAGATAGTTCCCGTTTATTACGAATCAATATTTTATTTTAATCTCTTTTTCTCTCTCTCTCTCTCTTTCTCATATTTTTTATACAACTCACTTTATTTATTGCACAAACACATATTAATTAAATTTGTCTCATTTAATAAATATTCTAATGATATAATAATAACAATAAAAAATATATCTGTTCGGATATAAATGACATTATTTCAAAAAATATATATAAAATAAAAAACACATAATAATTTTTAATAGTACAAAATGTTAACTTAACGCAAAAATTAGTTCAAGCGGGAACTACCTGTATGTAATTTTTCACAAATTATGAGTGTATATGTATATATATATATATATATATATATATATATTTTATATATATATTTTTTTTATATATATATATTTATTTTTAATTTTAGTATCGTGTACCTGTGTGTCTTCGATAATATGCAATATTTTTTCCATTTCTTTTCTTTATTGAGCTACCCGCCTACGTAGCAGTGTGTTCTCTGAAAAGAGAGTTTTACCTAATTGGTAAAATTAATATATAATAATATGATTTATATTTACATTAACTATCTACAAATATCTACACATCAATAAATGATTAGTTTTAGTGGGTTTTTTTTTAAATTTATTTTTTTTCATTATCGGTTTATTATTTAACTTCATTTTTTTTTCTATTTATTTCTTAATCGACTTTTGCTGCACCTTTTTTCTTTCTTTTTTTTCTGTATTTATTATGCAACAAATACATGTATATATTTATATATATACCAGACGTATACATATATAAATATATACGCATACAATATATAATATATTTCAAATCTTTTTATGTCTCATTTTGCACTTCAATTTTTTTTTTCAAATCATCATCATATTTATCATCATAATCATTTCTGTAATCATCATCATTATCATTCGTCTAAATCATTCGTACTAGGCTTCCCATTCTTTCATCAATTCCCGTTCACACACAATAATTATCATCACTTTTTTTTTTAATAATAGCGTTGTTTAATCACCGAAAAAGAAATCAAACAAATATCTCTCATCATTTTCGCGACTAGTTAGAAGCAGCAAGTTTTTGTTTATCATTATTATAATCATTGTACAAAAAAAAAAGACAATCGTCTCACTCAAATATATATATATGTATATATATATTAGTCGACTTTTATTTCAATTCGCAAGTGACGATTGTTCACAAAAGTGCAATAACAATAATAGAAAAAAAAAAATATACATATATAGAAATTAAAAAATCAAAGAAATATAATAAACAACACATGCATACAAACGAAAAAAAGTGAAATAAATATGCCAACTTAGAAATAAAAAATCAAAGGGAAAAAGAGAAACATGATATAATAAACGTAATAATATAATATAATAATAATATTAATAGTAATAGTTAATAGTAATAATATAATAATAGTAATAGTAATAATATTATTAATAATAATAATAATATTAATAATTATAATAATGCGAATATGTAGCCCGTAAGTAAAAAAGACTAACGCTACGTTTTTGTTTTGAGAAATCGTGAGCCTCTTTTTCTTATTCTCATACGAAATCTTCATTTCCTCTTTATTATCATCATCGTTACCATCCTCATTTATTATCATCGGCAGCTCTAAAATAAAATTTGTATCTTTTTTTCTCTCCCTCTCTCTCTCTCTCTCTCTCTTTCTTTCCTATCAGTTTTCTTTTTCCTTATAATTATTATCATTAATATTAATATTATTATTATTATTAATATTATTATTATTATGAGAATCCTTTCGATTTATTCGCAAAGGACACACGCTATTCTTTGATCCATTGATCGAACTCGGTATTTTTTGTTATTGTTGTTCCTCTCTGCTGTTATATTTATATATATATAGTATTATTATTATTATTAATATTACTGTAAGAGTTTACAATAAGGACAATCAATGATCAGTAATTTTTTTTTTTTTTTATAATCTCTTTGGGCAAACGTGTTATATTTTTCTGTTCCTTCTTCATCTCCTTTCTTCTTGATAATAATTATTATTATTTTTTTCTCAAAATATTTAATTATTTCTCTTTATCGCGTCATTTCCCATGATCTCTCCTTAAAAATTGAAATATCATCTACGGAGAGAGGTACTCAGATTCAGGTCAAATTAGGCTGCGGCGAGGATGAGGTAGCAGATGAATAATATGAGGCCGAATCCTATATAAACGCCCAACATTCTAGTGTCTTAACGACAAAGTCTTCGTGTGGTGCCAATGGTTCATTGCCATATGTGCTACATGATTGTGTCCTTCCTTGGTAAAGGTCACCGTCCAACCACAGTCCAAATTTACCGCTGCAAATAGTAAAGTGACGTTAATTTGTTTGCCTTTTTAAAATTCTTTTGTCTCAGACTTATGTTTTTATTAATCCTCTTTACATGAGTACATGTTTGTAATTGTAAGTTATTCCTGAAAAGAAAGAAAAAAAGAAAGAAAGAAAAAGACTTACTCTCCAGCTCCTATGGCAAGACTCTCGTTGTTGCCTTTAATGAAGTAAAGGTTATCACCGGTCCAATTGAAAGCTTGGAACCTTGGTGTAAACCTAAATAGTAAGGACTCGCCGGTACCGTAAAAGTGATCACTAACGTGCAATGCGCATGAAGTCAATGCTCCAAACACCTGCAATTTCATTTAAAATCACTTATTATATATGTATGTAATCATTTTATTTATTTTATGATTTGAATTACTGTATCATTGACAAGAAATTTTAATTTAATTTCTTATATTTGAGCTGTGTTTGTTTTGAAAGTGGCCTAACTCTGTTTATATTCGAATCGAGATATTGAAGGGTTTGCATTTTAATGCAATTAAAAATATATTAACGAGTCATACTGCTTAAGTGTATCTAAAGATGTTAAATTTACAGTTCATATTAAAATAGTAGTAATTATTAAGTGAATAATATGCGTTTTCTAACCACGAATAGAGTTAGGCCCACTTTCAGAATAAACTTGTTCATCATTCCATTAATCAGCAAATTTTCTTGTTACCAAATCTTCATGATTTTAAAAATATCTTAGTAACAAATTACTTCAGAATGAAAAGATCATGTAAAAATGTAACTATTACAGTAGTTAACTTGATTTTTTTGAAAAATGGAGTTAGGCCATTTTCAAAATAAATGACTCATTAATATATGTGCCCATAATTATGAAAGTGATCTAAGTCAAAATTATAAAAAAAAGAGTTTATCAGTTGTTACGCACCACTGTATTTTAAACTAAATAAATTCAATGTAATTTTTCACGATATTGTCAAAAATTAATAGTTAGATAATGTTTGTTATTTCAATATTATATAGAATTCAACAAGAGATATACCACCATTTTCAGTATACCTATTTCTACCACACTAGTCAAAATGACTGATGTATACAAAAAAAAATGCTCTTTGAGGTTTCTAGTCTTTATTTCCTCTTAAAAAAATAACAAAAAAAAAAAATATTTAACAATAATAATTTTAATAGACAAATGGATTTATAGACATTTTTAAATAACAAAACGCTTAATTATTTACAGAAATCAAATGTTACATGAAGTAGAAATTTTGAATTAAAATGGCCGCTCAACCAATCAAAATAACTGGTCTGGTATATCTAGTGTTAAATATCTCGAAACAAGAGATACATGACAAGAGACCACTTTCGTAATTATGGGCACATATATATGTATAAAAAAAATATTTTAATTGATACTTACGTTACCCTCAGTGTCCTCGATGACCAGTAAAATTGGACTTTCAATTTTTCCCATTTTTCTGTACATACTGTTCAGACTGAAACCATTTTGACTCGTACTGAATACTAAAGTCCAAAGATAGCCTTCTGCTCTTGCTGGTAAATGTCTGCATAAATGTTCTCTGTGTTCGTCGCTTAGAATCTCCGTTGTACCAACAAGATCCGGTATAATTATATCGTTGTCTAAGGAGACTGCGCTATTTGCATAAAGAGCTCTCCTTAATTCCTCGCTCATAGACAGCACCTAAGAGGAAATAGAAAATAAATCATTTTAAATATTGCATCGATATGAATATTTAACAACATAGTATATATACGATGATTGTGCTTTATCATGATCATTTCAAATGATGGGGAAAATAAGTAGTCAGCTTAATTGAGCATATAATCGTTGTTTCTTATTATTAATTTATAATTATATATATATTTGCATAAATGATTGATAATGACTGGATATATAAAATGTAACTCTCAGGTTACTTTACAAATACATATTTTTGTATTTTATTTTAATAAAATAAATTAATATACTTTTAGTGAAGTCATTTTGAAAATTATAATTTGAAATAATATTATGTTTATTAATAAATGTAATCCTAAGGTTACTTTACACATGCATTTTTGTATTTTATTTTAATAAAATAAATTAATATACTTTTAGTGAAGTCATTTTGAAAATAATAATTTGCAATAATATGCTCAATTAAGTGACTAATTATTTCCAAATATTACATGATATCAAAGATTTCTAATTCTAATCTAAATCTAAACACAATTAACACTTATGGGCTAGGAATCCAAATGTTGTGTTCTTCTTGTTGTTCTAATTAACATTCGTTTGCATGAAAGATATTAAACAACAAATATTTCGTGTTTTTTTTTTAAAACATACAATTGAAATGTGCAAAATTGCTGCGAGTGAATTAAAAAGAAAAAAGAAAATATTTCTTCTTTTTAGATGATTATTTGTTTTTTTTTTTTTTTTTTTTTTTTTTTATTGAAGAAATTATAATAGAGATGAATGATTAAGCTGAAGACGAGTATATTTGTAAAGATAAAAACTTACGGAAAATGTGAAGAATAAATTCATGGTAAAGATTATTTAATAAGAGTATAATAATAATAATATATTATTATATAATTAAATAAATAAATAAATACTAAAGAGAAATTAGATTATTAATTTCTGGATGTTTAAGTTAAAAATGAACTATTTTATACAAATATTTTTATAAATACGATCCTTCGTTTAATCCAACATCCTTAAATCAAATTATTTGACATAAATATATATAAAAAAAAAAAAAAAAGTAAGAAGATCAAAGAATATTTCATGAATCATTTTCATGGTATCATTTATGTAGTTTTGAACCGTTAGTTGACTCATCTTTTTGAATCAGCAAGATTAATTAAATTGCACATATTAATATACATAATATACATAACACACATACACACACAAGTAGTTGACCATTCGAATTGGTGTAACAGATGGATAATATATTCGTTTTATAATGCGTTACGATTAGGATAAGAAAAATATAACGATGTTGTAAGGTTTTACATATTTGAATGTTAAATATATTACGAAATTTACATAATCAAACTTTTCTATGATGTTGGTTGTATATATACATATATGTGTGTTCCTAACGTTGGAATTAAATAGAGATCATACTCTGGTTTACGAACGTTACTTAAACGGATCAATTGGTCGTTATGTTGTTAAAGAAAAAAATTGTTATTGCATTTATTAATCAATGTTATTGTGTATTTTAATTAATCATCAAGGATTTATTGTAATTCTCTTTTTGTTGTCAATGTATTAACACTTTAATGGCCGCTCACACAACATGTGTGTGATAGCCGGAACAACCGTTATTCGTCGTTATTTATGTATAAATTTTTATATATTTAAAATTATATAAAATTAAATTTGTTATTAAATTGTTATTGCTTTTTTATGTTAATTTTTTCGTGAATTTAATAAAGTTTTTTTTTAAATTAATTTTTCAAAAATATTATACCGGCGACGTTTGACTGCGTAGACGTATGGCCATTAAAGTGTTAAAGATAATAAAAATAAATGTTTGTATATAAAAACACAAGATAAATAATGTAAAATATGTAAAAGAATATTTTCAAATGATACAATAACGTTTAAAATAAAATTGATCATTCGATATCATAATTTGTATTGTAGTTTGAAATAAAAAAAAAGAAAATTTACAAAAAGAAGATTAATTAATTCTGATCATGTTCCATTTTCAATCTTAGCAAGGATAACGAGAGATCATCTTACGAAGAAAATAAAATAAAATAAAAAGAAAATGAGAAAGAGAGAGAGAGAGAGAGAGAGAGAGAGAGAGATCATTGTCAACTACGAAATGGTCATGGAACATTAAATCGTTGCTTGCAAAAACAGTATGACGACACATTCCAGTTATCTTACGTGTGAACCTTTCATATAACATTACATACACATATTTCATTATATCTTACATGTATGTAAGTACATATGTAATAAAATTCTAACGTTTTAATATCGAACGATATAAATACGAAAGTTAACGATAAAAAAAGAAAAGGACAGTGCAAGGATAACCAGATGTGTAACAATATTGTAATTTACGCAATATTTAAAATTTAATATTACAAGGATAGAAAAAAGTAAGTAATTATTAAAAATAAAACCTTGCCATCTCATAAAATCAAACAAAAAATATAAAATAAAATAAAATAAAATATAAATTATTTTTATACTATAGTAATAAAATATTTCATTGAAATCGTAAAAGATAAATTAAAAAAAAAATAAAAATTAATTATTCTTGTTTTTCTGTTCATTCCCATCTGACCTTTTGTTGCTGTTGTTGTTGCTGTTGTTGTTGCTGTTGTTGTTGCTGTTGTTGTAGTAAATTAAAAATATTCAAGAGAAGTTTTATATTCAATCGATAATAAAAGTACACTAATAGCATTTATGTATTTTTTGTTTTTAATGGTTTTACGAATACGATGATTGATAAAAGAGAGAGAGAGAGAGAGAGAGAGAGAGAGAGAGAGAGAGAGAGAGAGATAATCGTACGAGGTCAAGGTGATAAAGTATGCGAATTTCTTGATAAAAGACAACCGCAGGAATTATCTTCAAATGTTGTTTAATCTTATTAAATATATACTTTCTTTTTACCTTTTAATTTTGTGAATTTTACTTCAGAGAAATTATTAAATAACACAATTAATTGTCAATGAACGTTATCATTGATAAGAACTTCAATATTATAAGTCAAAGTTCATATTATCAAAGTTTATTAGATTAAATTTCAAATTTTCCTAATATATTCAATTTAATTAAATTAATAATTACTGGTAATAAGAAAACATATGTGTGTTTGTATATGTGTGTTTACCAGTAATTTATAATGGTCATAATTAAAAAAAAATTAAATAAAATAAAAAATCAAGTTTTGCAATTAATTATACGATTACGAGTGATATATATATATTAAAATGATTAATATTATAAAATAAAATATATTTAAAAATTCGTACTACACACAAAAATATTATCAGCACAAAACACAATTATGTTTAAGTATATCAACTAATAATTTGTTGTTAAAATTCTACCAATTCATATTAAATATATTAACATATTTAAAAATTCCTATTATGATCCAAATTATTATCAATAAAAAACAATTATGTTTAAGTATATAAGCTAATAATTTGTTGCAAAAATTTTACTTATTCATATTAATTATATTAACATATTTCAAAATTCGTACCACGATCCAAGCTATCATCAATTAAAAAACAATTATGTTTAAGTATATAAGCTAATAATTTGTTGTTGAAATTTTACCAATTCATATTAATTATATTAAATAATAATAATTATTTAAAATAAAATTTACTCGTAAATTAATATATCTCTCAATGCAGTCCACACACACAATTTAAATTTATATCCCCCATGGTTTAACTACTTAACGTTAATTAACACGTCTTGCAACGATGAAAGAAAAGAAGGAAAGAAAAAAATAAAAAGAAAAAAAAAAAGAAAGAAAGAAAAACATGTAATAAAGAGACACGATAAGAATAAACGTCTTGTCTTATGCATCATCATCATCATCACCATCATCAACATCATAATCATCATGGACTTAGGTTGATGTCAATGGCATAATAACATTCATAGTTGTTTGTTACGTATAGTGCAAGACAATACCCATGTATTTCCTTGTATAACGTGAAATTTGAACTAGTAGTTAGAAACATGATACTAGTCAACGTTTATGATGATCGAGAACTATGTATATAAGTTTCTACATATCCTATGAGTTTAATTAAATGTACATACGTAAGTATATATATATGTATGTTTGCATGTTATTTCTTTTATTAACCCTTTTGTTTCGACACGACTGTGTGTGTGTTGTGTGTGTGTGTGTGAGATAAAATATTATATTATATATTATAAATAATACATAATATAATTATATAATATATAATAATATATGACAATATATAAATATTATATATATAATATAGTTTTATTATTTTTTTATTTTAATATTATATATTATATTTTAATATATAATATAATAATATATTTTATTATATATTAATATAAATAATATATATTATTATGTATAATATATTATATAAATAATATATTGTCATGTATTATTATTATTATATAATAATAAAATGTCAAAAAAGATTGTGACACGATTATGACATATATATATATATTCATGGAAATATAATTTCGGCTATTTATTTTATATAAATTTATTTCAATTCACATCTTTCATATTAGCAACTTTGTACACTTCCTCGATAATAATAAAAAAAAAATAAAAAATAAATAAAAAAGGATATTAATTTTGTTGTTAATAAATTTTAGTAATACATAAGCAACAAACTTTTCTTCTTTTATAAATTAAAAAAAAAAATAATAATAATTTCTTACCGACAGCATTCTGGAGGAATGTTGAAACACATAATTAAGGATCGGACAAGGATCAGCAAACATGGCTTAATCAGAGATGAGAAATTTTTGTATAATCGACAAACTTGTTCAAAGAACTTTCTTTGATTTTCTTCAAAAAGAAGTTTCTTCGATTTAAAACAAAAATATATCTTTCTCTTTCTCTATTTCTTGAACGATCGAATTAGATGATCACGCGTTTATTTATATTAGAAAAAAAAAAGAAAAGAAAAAAAACAGGGAATAATAAT